TAGTGATTTTCAAGGAGTTTGTCCATCCCCTCTAAATTGTCAAATTTATTGGCATAAAACTGTTCATAGCATTCTCCTATTAGCCATTTAATGTCTGTAGAATTTGTAATGTGCCACCTCTCAAAGTTCTGATATTATCATTTGTGTCTTCTCTCTTTATTCATCTTCTTAAAGAACTGGCCTTTATTTTTATAAATTTTCTCTAGTGTTTTTCTGTTTTCTAGTTAATTGATTTCTGCTCAGACCCTTATTAGTTTTTCTCCTTACTTTGGGTTTCCTTTGCTCTTCTCTTTCTAGTTTCTTAAGGTAGAAGCTGATGTCATTGATTTGAGACCTTTCTTCTTTTCTATTATATGTGTCTAGTGTTATAATTTTTTCCCTGAGTACTACTTTAGTAATATCCAACCAAATTTGATATATTGTGCTTTTATTTTCATTTAGTTAAAAGTACTTTTTCATTTCCCTTTCCATTTCTTTGACCCATGAGTTATTTAGAAGTGTGTTATATAGTTTTCACATATTTAAGGGTATTCCAGGGGTCTTTCTGTTATTGGTTCTGGTGTAATTCCATTGTGGTTAGGGTACATACTTTCTATGACTTCAGTCCTTTAAAATTTATTGAAACTCATTTTATGGACCAGGATATGGACCATCTTGGGCCACATATCCCATGTGCACTTGAAAAGAAAGTATATTAACCCTTTGTTGAGTATTCTATAAATGTCAGTTAGGTCGAGATAGTTGACAGTGTTGTTCATGTTTTCTGTATCTTTACTGATTTCAGTCTACTTGTTTTATTAACTATTGATAGAGGGATATGAAAATCTTTGAATATGATTGTGGATTTGTCTATTTCTCCTTACAGTTGTATCAGTTTTTGCTTCATGCATTTTAAAGCCTTGTTATTAGGTACAGAAGTATTTAGGATTATTACTATCTTATTGATGAATTTACTTCTTTATCACTATGAATTACTTTCTTTATTCTCATTAATATTCTTCCTTGTAGAATCAACTTTGCCTAATATTAATATGCAGCTCTTTCTTGACTAGTGTTAACATGGTATATATTTTGCCAACCTTTTACTTTTAACCTATTTGTGTCATAAAGTTTATACTTCTTATAGGCAGCATACAGTTGGGTTTCCTCAACTTGGAGACTCTGCCAGTCCCTGCCTGGATTTCCCCCTTCCTGTGTCATGGCCTAAAAACTCTTTATGCAATAATAGGGCTCGTTTCGTTTGTTTCTGTCAGGAACAGGCTTTGGGCTAGAGTGAGGTGAGTAAGGTCCCTAGGGTGCAAAATTTAGAAAGTAATTACTCTCTAATGCACAGTTTTCAGAATGGATTTCTCTTTGAATATTGTACCTTAGGCGCCTCTTCCTTAAGAAGACACTCACTTTTGGGGCGCCTGGGTGGCTCTGGCTCTGTCGGTTAAGCGTCTGACTTCGTCTTAGGTCATGATCTCACAGTCTGTGGGTTTGAGCCCCGCGTCGGGTTCTGTACTGACAGCTCAGAGTCTGGAGCCTGCTTCAGATTCTGTGTCTCTCCCTCCTTCTCTCTGCCCTTCCCCTGCTCGCACTCTGTCTCTCTGTCTCTCTGTCTCTCAAAAATAAATAAGCATTAAAAATTTGTTTCAAAAAAGCAGGCACTCACTTTCAGAGTTGTGCAAGTACAGGGCTAGTACCTGAGAGTAAATTCCTCCTTTAATTTTGCACTTTAGGGGCCTCATTCAGCTCACCCTAACCTGGCCATGCTGAAGGATCACTGTCCTTCATTGACTGATGTCTAGTGTCTTAGAAAGAATTTTCTTTTTTTTTTTTTAATTTTTTTTTAATGTTTATTTATTTTTGAGACAGAGAGAGACAGAGCATGAACGGGGGAGGGTCGGAGAGAGAGGGAGACACAGAATCTGAAACAGGCTCCAGGCTCTGAGCTGTCAGCACAGAGCCCGACGCGGGGCTCGAACTCACGGACTGCGAGATCATGACCTGAGCCGAAGTCGGACGCTCAACTGACTGAGCCACCCAGGCGCCCCAAGAATTTTCAAAAATATATTTTGTTTGGATTTTTTAAAAAATTATTTTAGCTGGGAAAGCAAACCCAGTCCCTGTTACTCCATCTTTTCTGGAAACGGAAATCTGAATTTGTTCTTTATGAGATAAAAATCCCACACAGAGAGCTATCTGATTGAAACACAAATGTTTTTAGGCCTCCCTGCAAAGGATGCAGCAAAAAAATTGTTCTTCCTTCATTTAAGAATCAATCAATATGCACTTACTGTGTACCATATTCTGGGATAGGAACTATGGTTAAAATCAAATAAGACATGGTGCCTATCTGCTAGTTGCTCATAGCTGGCTGCTTTAGAACTATTGGACTGGTTCTCTCATGCCATGCATTACCTGGGACATGGGTCAGGGAAGGCAGAGAGCCAGAGAAAGTCAGGCCTAGAACTGAGAGAGCATCTCTACTAATTTCCAGGCCAGAGTGGCTCAAGGGCTTACTTAGCTCACATAGGTGGTTAGAAGTAGTTGATTGCTATGTCGTCCGTTTTGAGGGATATGGAGGAAGGACCCAACCTGAAATACCTTCCCTTACCAGCAGTTACCATGACTGAATTCCCACTATTTGAGACTCATTCATTAACAGCAGGGACCATGTCTTATTCATGTTTGCATTTTTCAGTGTTAGCTCAGAGCCTGCTAATTGGGTAGTTGATAAATAAGAATCAATGAATGATTGAATGAATGATAAATGTTAAAAGGATGAACATGCCTCTGGGAAGTGACTTAGGTTATTATCTGTTGGGGATAAGTAGACCATCAAGAGCAAGTCCATAGCTTGGAGCCATGCTAGGAAAGTAATATGGTATAGTACAACGGGTCTCTAACTATACTAGACCTTGATCCAAGTTGTTTAACCTTTCCCTAACTTAGTTACCTCATCTGTGTGATGGGAATCCTAATTTACCTAATAGAGGGATTAGGTTCCATTAGGATGAAGTATGTTATGGGGCTGGCAAGAGAAAAGCCTCAAGGAAGAACAGATATTATTCATCCAGTCTTCTGGGAACCGCAGGTGGGAATAAGGTAGGGGCTACTGGATGGCAGAGACCTCGAGACAGTCCTGGCTGGGCAGCAGGAAGACACAGACTGTTCTGCTAATGCTGTACATTTACAGAAGCTCAGATGTTACCACTTCTATTATCCAAAAGCCCTTCCTAAGCTGAGTGTTGCGATAGATATTTTGGGCAATACACGTAAGCCATGCAAAAACAGCCCTACTCTCTTGGGACTTATAACCAAGGCCTTTAGTTCCCTCCGGGGAAGACAGAATAGAAATGTTAAGTCTGTCTATGATTAGGTGACAGCCAGTTCACACTGTGTAGGAATGGAGAGAAAGACCCGATTCCTGAGTGAAGGGCTAGTCAAAGGGATCAGGTGGGAGCCCATTGTCCAGTCCAAGTGGAGCAAGAATGTCAAGTCTCCTCTACTTTGTCCAGGCTCTGTTACACATGGTGCATTCCTGAGGCCAGAGGTAGTCTTCCAGCTCTGGGTCCACAGCTCTTGACACATCTGGTAGGTGGAAAATGTTGACCCAAATCACAGATTACTTTGGAGTTATGGTGTAGCTGAGCCAGATCCCTGGGCTCTGATAATCAGACAAACCCACCTGGTGATAGTGTGATTTTCCTCCTTTTTTTCTGACAATGGTGTAGGAGATATGATCTGTATTTCCTTCTTCACTTTTTGCATTTCCCCAAAATGCATTACAGTGTGTATCTGTATTTTAACATTTAAATATTTAAAAATTTAGACCTAGCTTACTTCCAAAAAGTTTTCAGATAGAAAACTCCAAGGATATGACTATTTCCTTTCATCACATTGATCCATTTTTTTATTAGTAACAATTTATTATGTTGAAATATCATACACTTACAGACTGTCAGAGGTAGAAGGGGCCTTAAAGAAAATAGGACCGGTCTTCTCAATACACAGATGAGGAAACTGAGACCCAGACAGGTACTGACTTATTCAAGGTCACTTAAGGAGCAACGGAGTCCAGACTAGAAGTTGGTTTCTGCATAACTTCTCCCATAGCATCACATTACAGTGCACCCTCTGAAAAAAAAAAAAAAATCCATAAGGGGCTTTAAATGTCTGATCAGGACATATAATTTGTGATTTTATGTTGGCCAGAGACCAAACTAGGCCTGGCAAATCCAGTAGAGCAGGAAGCTCCTTGAGGACACAGTACACTTTCCTCCATCAGCTTTCCGCTGCATGCTCTCAGGCCCCGTAGAGGCCTGCAGTATGAGCTAAGAGCTCACCAAGAACTTGTTGATTGTGAAGGGCATAGGAAACAGTGAATCTGAGAGAAGAGAGTTCTCCACCCTTCGAAACGCTGAAGAGTCAGGACAATGTAGGATTAAGGTCAAATACAAGTTTGATGAGCTTGGATTTAAATCTGTTTTTGCATTAACTTGCTGTGTGGCCTTGGTCAAGTCACTCAGCCTCTCTGAGCATTGATAAAATGAAGATGCTAATATCTATTTCAGAGGGATGTGAGAAATAAATGAGAAAATGTATACAGAGACCAAGACATGGTGCCTGCCTCCAAGTGAACACTCAATAAATGGTAGCTGGTCTGTCTGTCAGGATCTGTTTTGTTGCTGTTAGTTTAAATGGGGAGAAATTATTTTCAGGCTTCCACTACCCACCTTCTTTCACTCTAGAAATGTCTGTTTTCTTTTCCCCCTTCTTCTTTTTTTTCAATGGGCTGGCTGATCTATTAGCAATCATAGCACATTTCCCCTTGCCGTTCTGCTAATGAGGAGGTGGTTGGTAAGAGAGGCCAGGCACACTGGTGAGCAGTTATGGCTGCCCTCTAATGCCCTCTCATTCTTTCTCAGCCTCACTCCATCCACACCACACCCACTTGTCTCTCTCATCTTCTGTGTTCAGGTTCTGCAAAGACTTGAAGAAATTGACAAACCCGGATGGCTACCCCTGACAGGAGAATGGTCTCTAGACCCCAGAGACCTGGAAAGGGTCCAAAGGAAAGCGGGGCCTGCCTGAGTCCCCTGGACAACCTGGAGTGTAAGGAGACCCAGGAGCTGGCACCGGTAGAGCTGGCCATGCTGAGCAAGGCACAGGAATTCTTTCAGACCTGTGACACAGAAGGCAAGGGGTTCATCGCCAGGAGGGATATGCAGGTAAGAGGCCAGCCCACCTGGAATGCCAAATGGCATGGCTCTCTCCCTCTTGGGTTAGGGCCTGCCCCACTGGGGGCAGTAAAGGTGCCATCTACTCTGCCCTGGAAGGAGGCGTCAGCCTCAACTCTACTGGGAGCCAGATCTCCTAGGTTCATTCCTTTCCTGGCCTTTGCTTGCCGTCAGACTCACAGATTGTTTCCCCTCTCTGACTCAGTAACTGTCAGGTTTGGAAAATGGTGATAGCAACATACAGGACTTGAGTAAGACATGGTGGAGAACCTTCTGAGACAGAGTGGGAAGGCACCAGCTTGCTACTTCACAATAAAGCTTTGAGCTATGCCGTGGTGCTGTGTGTGCCTTAGGAACACATTGACAAGTGCAACAACCAGGGAGGAAGGCATTTCTGGAGCTCCTCCAGAAACCCAACCACACTCAACCCCTCATAACTGGGTCCCAAGAGACATACTGCAGAACCCCGGTGTACCCCATTGCCTGGTGCAGGGCTCAGCAAACTTTCTTTAAAGGGCCAGACCATAAGGATTTTAGGCTCTGTGGGCCATGTACACGATCACAACCACTCAATGCCATGCTGCTGCACGAGCTGACATAGGCAATATGTACACAGGTGAGCTTGGCTCTGATCAAATGAAACTTCTGTGGACACTGAAATTTGAATTTTATATGATTTTTGTGTGTCCCCAAATAGTCTTCTTTTGATTTTTTTCAACCATTTAACATTATATCTCACCCCCGAAACTAATATAACATGGTATGCTAATTATCCTTGAATAAAAAATAATAAAAGTGTAAAAGCCACTCTTAGTTCACTAGCCATAAAAAACAGATGATGGGGTCCGATTTATAACCCTGGGGCATAGTTTTCCACCCCTGGTCTAGTGCCTTTCCAGCATTCGTGTCAAAAGCTTCTTCTGAGTGTCTTACTTAAGTCCGTTATGTTGCAGCCGTGATGTCCTCTGACATAAACAAGATGCAGGCTCCACCAGAGCAAGCTGGACTCAGCCCTTCTCCAGCTCTTTCCAGCCAAGAGCATCTTGGGGAGGGATGCATGGCCGTGCTGTTGCAAGAAAATCCTGCAATGGTCAAGTTTTCTTCTTTTTATTTTTTCATTTTATTTATTTATTTTGAGAGAGAGCACGAATGTGGGAGGGGCAGAGAGAGAGAGAGAGAGAGAGAGAGAATCCTCACTGACAGCATGGAGCCTAACACGGGGCTCAATCCCACGAACTGTGAGATCATGACCTGAGCCAAAATCAAGAGTTGGACGGTCAACCAACTGAGCCACCCAGGTGCCCCTAAGCTTTCTTTTTTAAATTTGGCTTTTCAGAATACAGTGAAGTTGGGCAGTGGAATGTAGACCCTCATGGGGCTCAGTCCCCTTCTGGGCTCACATGTGGGAGCTGCAAAGAGATGAGCCATGTGACCCAGGTGAAGGCCGTGGGTCTTTCCCTGGCCCCACAGGATGGTGTTTTCAGGCTTTTCCCAGAGCTCTTCCACCATGCCATAGATGCACGAATGGAGGGAAGAGACCCGGAGGACAGGACAGGCTTAGCCCACGAGAGAGCTCAGACCATCTGTGTTGTCAGTAGTTGGCTCCCCAGTACATTTCTGTCACTGAAACTCAACCCAAGTCTTACTCTCCATGGAAGGCCAGACTCTGTGTGCTTTGAGGAAACCCTGTCTGTGAACTTCATTATTGTCCTTCACAGGTCTGTGGTGGTTGGTGGTGGTAGTTTTAATGGCATACTTAACTTTTGATTGTCCCTTCTGGAAGGAAAGAAAAGGGAATTTGACATGTACTGATGGTCAGCTCCGGACCATATGCGTGGTGCAATTCAGCACTTTCTCTGTGTGTGTGTGTCCCAATTAACCTTCACTGAAGCCCACACTTTACTGAAGGAGGAAGAGTCATGGTGAATTTAAGCTGCAAAGTGTAAGTTGTAAGAAATCATTTGTATCTGACCCGGAATGAAGTCATAACCATCAAGTTGCAGAGGTACCAACTCAGCTACATTCCTACTCAGTCCTTGATTGTGACCGAGGCAAGAGGAAAAGGGGACAGACATCCTACCTAGTGGATACTTACACATCATGGCCTTTATTTCTACTTTGTTTCCCAAAGCTTCTGTGTACCTGTGGACAGTGAAGCATTTGAAATTTTCAGTTCTGTAGGCTCCGAAAGTGCTATCAAGGAAGAACAAGGCCCATCACTTAAGCGCTATCTCTTTGCTGCTTTCTCGGGTCCTATCTGGGGGAAGATGGGCTGGAAAGAGATACGTGGAGAACAGCAATCCACACATCATCAACACTGGATGCTCTGTGGAAGCCCCACGTACCCTTTGGCTCTCCTGGGCAGAACCTACAGACATCTGTCTGTTCCTTGTCACTCCCTCACGGAGCTGCTTTGCCAGGTGACCCCTTTGGTTGGTGGTCACCTCCTTGAACCTGACCACTACCACCTTGCTCACCTTTGGTTCTCAGCCTGGCCTCATGGGAACTGAAAGAAGAGCTCAGATTATGCATGCACACGAAAATTCAGCCACCAGGAGAGGCCCTTTAAAGCAGGGACTGAGGGGTGCCTGGACGGCTCAGTCGGTTAAGCCTCCAACTCTTGATTTCCACTCAGGTCATGATCTCACGGTTTGTGGGGTCGAGCCCTGTGTCTGACTCAGTGCTGACAGTGCAGAGCCTGCTTGGAATTCTCTCTCTCTGCCCCTTTCCCACGTGCTCTCACACTCTCTCAAAATAAATAAATAAATAAATAAATATTTAAAAAACAACAACAACAACAACAACAGGAACTGATTGTCAAGGAAGGTGAGGCCATGGACCCGAGGGAGAGCAGATCCAGGGGCTGGAAGAGGTGGGTAAAGAAGCAGAGTCAGAACAAGACCATGCAGGGCTTACTGTCCTTTAGGAAAAAGAGAGAGTTAAGCTCCTCCCTTGGTGCTCTTATTCTTCTTGGTCCTGATGAACAAAAAACTATTTTCAGTGGGTGAGAAAGACTTTGTGTCCATCCAAGAGGTAGGGGTGGGGGGGGTGCGGGTGGGGAAGGAGACTGCTGCAGGGTCTGAGCCCCAGCAGTATGGAGCCAGCCCACTCTGAGAGAGCAGGGACCACAGAAGGAAAGGAGCAGGGTCCAGGAGAAGTTTTTTCCTTTTGGGTCCCTGGAGAAACCTGGAGGAACCAGAGGCAGACTGCACTGAGGGCAAGGGTGCAAGCTGTCCTATGCTGGGGCTCCATATGTGGACGTTCTACTGCGGGGACAGCCGGTGTTGGAATCAACCTGTGTGAACAGATTGTAGGCAGCAGTTTGAGAAACCTCAGCTCCACCCATGGCCCCTCAGACCCCACCCCCTCCTCTATGAGGAAACTGGGTTCCATGGGGATCGCTCCAGGCAGAATTGGAGTGAAGACTGCTTTGCAGGGCAGAGTCTGGTGCAGCCCCTAGACAAGCAGAGTCATGGGGCTGAGGACCCCGAGTGAAAGTCAGTCTTGCCTCATAGGGACAGAGGGACATGAGAAGGCCAGGCTGGAAGGGTGTGAAGGGACTTCTTCAGCCCAGAGAGGGAGAGGGGGCCAGTATGGGCAGAAGATCTCTCTGAAGACACCTAGAGCCTCAAAACCCCTGCTTCCTTGACTTTTCAAAGTGAAATGATTACCTACCAATGCCAAGTACCTACCTCCCAACACTGCCTAGAGTTCCTAGACTAGCCACACTGTTAAGAATCATCTAAGAGTTGGCAAACCAAATATTGCCTATTTGTGTGAGTAAAGTTTTGTTGGAACACAGCTGTGCTCATTCATTTACAACTTGCCCATGGCAGCCTTCATGTTTGTGGCAGGATTGAGTAGCTGTGACAAAGACCAAAAGGCCCGCCCAGCCTGAAATATGTATTTCCTAGTCTTCTACAGAAAAAGTTAGCTGATTCCTGGTTTAGGTTAACTTTGGACTCTCTAAGATTTTTATAGCAAATTGCACTGAGTTTTAGCCCTGAATCTGCAACTTAATAGCATGTGAGTTTGTGTGAGCCTCTTAAACCCTCTAGGCGATAGTTCCTCATCTGTGAATTATTTATAGTACCTCCCAGGGTTAGAGAAGAATTAAATGTGCGTATGCATGTAGAGCTCTTGGCCTGAGACTGGGACCTGGAAATCTCTCCATAAATACACTTTGTGTGTGTGTGTGTGTGTGTGTGTGTGTGTGTGTGTGTATGTGTGTGTTGGGAGCAGGGGTTGGGGGTTTGTACCCTATATGTCCTCCACAGTGTGATTTTTAAAAATTGTGGCAAAATACACATAACATACAGTTTACTGTCTTAACCATTTGTACGTGTACAGCTCAACAGCATTGAGTACCTTCATGTTGTGCAACCATCCCCACTGCCATCTTTAGAACTGTTTGCATCTTCCAAAATGGAAACGCTGTACCCATTAAACACTAACTTCCATGGACTCCTCCTCCCCACAGTCCCTGGCAACCACCATTCTGCTTTCTGTCTTCTTGAATTTGACTACTCTAAGTTCCTCCTATCAGCAGATCACAGGTGTCTTTCCTTTTATGACTGGTTTGTTTCACTTGGCATAATGCCTTCAGGGTTCATCCGTGTTGTCACAGGTGTCAGAATTTTCTGCCTTTTTAAGGTTGGATAATATTTCATCGTACCTGTGCACTACAGGTTGTTTATCCATTCGCTCATCGACGGACACCTGGGTTGCTTCACACCCTCGTGTGAGACTGATGCTGTTGTGAACAGGGGGGCGCAAATACTCTGAGTCCCTGCTTTCAATTCTTCGGGGTATATGTGCAGAAGGAAAATTGCTGGACCATACAGTAGTTCTGTTTCTGAATTTTCTGAGGAGCCACAGTACTATTTTCCAGCCAAACCATCATACTATGACTTTAAGTGCTCATCTGTCCCTCCTCGGGGACAAAGAAAAGGCATACCTGCTAAAGAGGGGGCCTTCCACTCATATCCAGATGGTGCTATTGTTGTGTGTGCCCAGTCTACATGAGTGGGGCAATTTTGCTTCTTAGAGGACGTTCGGTGATGTCTGGAAACATTTTCGATGGAAACTAGACGGGGGGATGTTACTGGCACCTACTAGGTATTGTCAGGGATGCTGCTACATACCCTATAAGGCACAGGATGGTGCCCTCTTCGTCACCCAACAAAGAATTAACCATGCCAAGATTTCAGTAGTGCCAAGGTTGAGAAACCCTAGGCTATACCAAACACTCAGCCCAAAACAAGCACGTGAAAACATAAAGCAGAATAAAGGTAATCTCACATCTCAGACCTTGAATTCTCCTTATAAAGATGTTTGGAGTAGCTGAGTTATGATACAGGGAAGAGAGTTTTTGGTGCTGGAATAGAGAGGTCTGAACAGAATGCTGCAGAAGCCCCAGAAGAAGGGAGACTTTAATTCTGGCCATAAAGATGGATCTCTTCTGGTTTTCTCTTTAATAAGTTTTCCTCAGACATGTTTGAAGCTGTGCACCCATTCATTTTAAGCTGTGTGAGGCATGTTACTGGACTGGTGACCAGGAAGATAGAGGGGTCTGGCTAGAGTGTAGAAGACGATGGCATTTTTCCATGGTTTTGGGAGCCCCAGGCCTTTACACTGCTGCTGCAGAATTGCTTCCTATTCCTGGTCTTGGAAAATGTCCAGTTTGTAAGACCTTGCTGAGAATCTGCAGTAGTGCTGGCCAGGACTGGGAGTATGAGAGGTCCAGACCAGTGCTCCCTAGATAGGAGTTCAGCGTCTCTTGCCATCACCCTTAGCCGTTCATTCATTCATTCATTCAACAAGTATCTGAATACTCCATGTTGGTCAGCATGGGGCTACCTGAGAACACGATAGTGAGTAAAAACGAACAGAATCCCTGGCTCAGATCTCCTAGTCCACTGAAGGAGCAGACATTCATCAACTGATTGCGTCTATCAGTATATAACTACAAGCTGATAAAAGAAGGCAATGTGTTCAGGGGAAGGCACAGCCTGGCCCTGCCCCAGGGGCTGCAGAGCCTGAATGAAACAGGAGTTCAGAGCTAACTTAAGGCAGTGGAGGGAGGCTGGCTTTGAAGGAGCTGCAGAGTTTTACAGAGCAGCAGCATGAATTGGGTGAGCTGACTTCCTCCCCATTCCTCCTCCCTCCCCCGTCTGCCCTCCCAGATGGAAGTACAAGTGAAAAACAGGATCTCTGGAAGGCTAGTATGTGGTGCTGCTGGCAAGAGAGACTTTTGGTGGTAGGTGGGTAGGCAGGGCATGGTAATGCTGAGTACGGAATTCTAGAAAGAGCACAGCAGAGGACACTTTGACTATAGCTGAAGCCCCAAATGAGAAATCAGCTCTTTAATCCCAGCGCTGGTCTCCACTGTGACTTTAGGCAAATCTAGAGCCTTGCAGGCTTTCCGATCAGTGGAATGAATAATCCTGTCCCTCTTTGCTCTGCTTACCTCACTTGGCTGAAAATGTAGACAGCACCAGGTGCCCAGGAAACAAGACCAGAATGAGTTGGTTTCACATGTCTCTGCAGGCCCTGAGAACAAAGATACATAAGAGGTGATTATGGTGATTGAGACTAAAGAATTTTTCCAGTAGGGCCAACAAAGAGAGGGTCAAGAATCTGGCATGGTGCAGCGTGCAGAGAAGGCTGAAGAAGCACTCAGTACCAATTTGCCAGGACAGGAGGAGCAAGAACTACTTGGAAGATCTAATATCACTTTCTCCAGGTTCACGGACAGCAGAAAGAGGAAACCAGCCTGAGTTGTAGACAAGAGAGGCTGAGATTAGGTGATGGAGGGATTTGTGTTAGATTCAGGAATAGAGCCTAAGGTGGTGTATATTCAACAGCTTTTCCCAGTTCACGTCCTCGAGAGAAAAGGTACCCACGTGTGGGGGTGGCTTCAGTGAAAGGCAAATTGAGGGTCACACCAATGTCGGCAGACCTCTTGCAGCCCATTTGTAGCTCCAGTCCTATGTGAGGCACGTCACTGATCAGATCCAGCAATCCTAGGCTGATGGTGATGGTGGGAAGGAGGAAGGATTACCCCAAGGAGAGGGCCAGACTTGCAAGGGTTTTCACCCTACCTCCCGTGTGATGCCTTTGGTTTCAAATGGGGCTAATAAAACTTCCTGCTTGCAAAATTGACTCACTCCTCACCCCGCATACTCTTACTGTGGCTTTTGAGACAGCTGGTTTATGGATGTTGATAAGCCAGAGATTCTGCTCTGTGCTGAGCAGATGCGCTTCTAGACTCTGCACAAACGCTCACTCCCCTTGCTTTCTAAAAAACTCATTCATATTTAATTCAGTTCTCCTAAATGGCTTCCACATCATCCTGTCTTTCCACTTTGTAATGCATCACAGTCTGCCTTAATGCAGTACCTGCCAAATTAAACTTTATGGCTTATCAGCTAGAAGATTGCCATAGGATCAAGCCAAATGTTCTCGCAAGTTGTGTTATGGGCTTTCACACCTGCCGGCTCATTTTCATTGTTCAGAGGGGTATATACCTTCCTTCCTACAGCCCTGTGTTCATTGTCTTCAGCTGTCAGTCACTTGCATACTGGCGATTTTGTGCACCTGTCCCTTGGGTAACGGGGAGGAAGGGGAGGGGCAGCTGGGCTATAATGAACTCCCTTGGGGAGTCCTTGTTTGGAGACTTAGATTATTAGGGTATAAGACTACGCTTGCTTCAACTATGCAAATTAGCCTTGGCCTGGGGCCACTGCACATCAGGCAGAAGGCCGGAGGGAAGCATCAGGAGCTCAGCCACTTGCTCCTCATCCCTTGGGCTGGTCCCTGCCCTCCCATCCTCTGTGACCCTAGCCAGGCCAGGGCTCAGGTTCAGTGCTTATATGTAACTTCCTTGCACACCATCTTGTCCAATTCTCCCTTAGAACACAAATGCTCCTGGGGGAATGACACCTTAAGCCAGTGACAGTTAACATCTTTTTGGTTGGCAGCCAGTAGGGGGCAGAAGTGGGGCACAGCCTGGTGTGATGGGTGGGGGTCACTCAGAAGAAGGGGGCTTATCCAGCTTCCCCCGCAGAGCTGAAGGACCAAAATGTGTGTCCGCCAAAACTTACAAATGTGGTGCCGGGGCCCTGGGACGTGGGTGGCCTCCATCAGGAAGGCTCCTGAGGGTGTGACCCATACCTGCATCTCAGTAGAGGAGGTACCAGGGCAGAGGACAGGGGCCTGAGGAGACCAGGAAGGACTAGACATGAAACCTGGCTCTGCCATTCACTTGCTGGGCCTTGGTGGGTCAGTGGATCCATCACTCTCATTCTCTCTCTCTCTTTCTCTCTCCCCCCCCACCCCACTTCCTACTACCTTTTACCAAATGCTTTCTCTGGGCCAGGCATTGTGCCATGTTCTTTATGTTCACAGTCTCATTCAACTTGACAACACCATGTCCCATGGCTGTGATCCTCCCACAGGATTCAGTCCAGTACAGTTCTGGTCCTTTGTGGCTGTGAAGAGGGCCAGTTTTGGAGTCAGACCCCGGATTTGACTACTCATTGTTATTTACTGGCTAGGTGACCTTTGGGCAGGTAACTTTAACCTGTAAAATGGAGATAATAATGCCCACCTAGAGGGCTGCCATGAGAATTCAGTACAAATATACATGTTTATAAAAATATTGATAAATATTTTATTTATTTATTATTTATTATTTATGGATCGCCTAGCAAATTGCCTAGCACATTAGGAGGCACCCAATAAATAGTCAATGTTGTAACATTCAAAGGAGGAGAAGGATGGATGGTAATGGGGTCTTTTGTAGGCCAGGGCCCACTCTGGACATTTCTGGCAGAAAGCTCTGCCTTCCCAGGGCAGCCCTGTGTGACGATCCGAGTGTTAACCAGTGCCATCTGGATTGTTTTCAGAGGCTCCATGAGGAGTTACCACTCAGCCTGGAGGAACTGGAGCATGTGTTTGACGCCCTGGATGCTGATGGCAATGGCTTTCTGACGCCAGAGGAATTCACCACTGGATTTAGTAAGTTCTGATGGATGCCGGGGCCCCAGCTACATAAAGCTATGTAAGGTGCATGCCTCCTCCCACACCACACCCATGGGTCTGTGTAGCACAAGCTTCCCTGTCCTCCTGAAGTTTCCAGGCTCCAGATTATTTGGGCCTCTTTTCTGGTGTCCGCACCAGCTGTCCACACCACTGTTCTCTCAGTGCCCACTGCACTGTCTCTGTCAGATCCCCTCCCACCTGAGAAGGACAAGGGGAATGCAAGGGAGCTTGGGCAGAAGGCTTGACGTAAGAGGGGAGCCGAGATGAGATTTCCAGCCTCTCCTTGTCTCCTTTCCTTTCTGTGACACCAGTTCACAACAAAGTGGGATGGCTGCATGGCTCATTTCAGCCTGGGTCTGGCTGAGTCTTCCCGGGTGAGGGGAACCAGCTATCAGAGGAATTTCTAGAGGGTTCTCAAAGTACCCAGGAGGAAGGAGGACAGAGATTCATGAACAAGATAAAGAAACCAGAAATCCCATCAGATAAGATACTGGTCAGATACTTATCAGAGCAAGTACTGGGCAGCAGGCAGGTCTTACCACACATCTGCCTCATATAAGGTGCCATATAGTTTGTTTAGAAGTATCTGAGGCCTTTCCTGACCTCTAGGAGCTTCTAACTGCCTTGGGAGCATAAGACAGGTTGCTGTATATTACAGACAGTATGAGTATGGAGAACGTGCACCAAAACTGTTATGTTGCTTGTAAATGTGAAGTTCAGTGATGCCACTGGGGGAAGTGACTAGATGGTAATATGGAGCACAGTCAGCCTGCTGGAGGTGGATGGAGGGGAGGCTCTTGTTGTTTAGAGAAGAACCCAATGAAGAGATGAGCTCTAAGCCAGAGAGCCACAAAGGTGCCACAGTCCTGTCATCCATTCTGCCTTTCCCAGGTTGTAGCAGCTCACTCAGAATCTCATGGAAGACGGGAAGACCCCAAATCCAGGAGCTGGTGTCCAAGAATGTTTGCTGGAGGGGGTTTCCCTTTTTCTTCCCTCAGAGGAGCCCCAAACGATTCCTGGCAACTAAGAATTATAAGGTCTTCCCAGGTGCATATTGCCTAATTCAGATCCTTGTGCTGTGCATCCTATAGGCCACTTCTTCTTCAGCCAGAATAAGCCAGGTCAGGAAGATGCAGGCGAGCAGGTTGAACGGCTCCAGGAAGAGAAGGTATATCAGTCCAGAGGGGAAGAACATGCGGGCGGCACGGATGAAGATGAGGAGACTCAGTTCCAAACACTGATGGACAAACTTGGAGCCCAGAAGGTTTCCGAGGAGTAAGTGATGACAGTGATTTGGGGAATGGAGCCCAGCCTAGGAGCAGCCCCTTCGTCTGCCCTGTGCACCATTAAAGTTTGTTAAGCACTCAGCCAGGCCCCAGGTGCTGGGCTGCCAGCGAGGAGGCTTGTTCCGTACCGCCTGCCCTTGGCAGACCCCTGTCTGTGCGCCATGGACCAGGGGCTCTGTGTCTGCTGTTACACTGTCTCATGGGAAACACTGCTAGGCCCCTCTTCTCCCACTCTCCTCACTTCTACCCTACGTCGTCAGCATGGTCCTTGGTTCCATGAGGAGTGCTGTGCAGCACGGGGCGTGCCGGGCCTGGAGGGTTTCTCAGTGTGTTTTGCTGAGGCTTCCGGTCACCACCAGCCTGCCAGTATTTCCACCTCCCCCAAAGCCAGCCCTGGGTCTCAAGGGCTGCAGGGCATCGCAGCCAGCCCCACAGTGCTGTGCTCCTGCCAAAGGTACCTTACGTGCAAGCATTTGCACACTGTATCCCTGAGCCGAACCTAACCATCAGGAAACTGAGGCAGGAAGTGAACCCATTTGTACCAACCCACTACTTGGATAATCAATAGCTCGGCTGAAAATTTCAGATGGCTGGAACTTCAAATAAAACATAATCCCCCATTTTCCCCCAAAAATTTATCTAAGCCCTGACATTTAAAATGAAATGCAGTGGGCCCGCCTGGGTAGCTCAGTTGGTTGGGCGGCCAATTTCAGCTCAGGTCATGATCTCATGAGCCCCATGTTGGGCTCTGTGCTGACAGCTCAGAGCCTGGAGCCTGCTTCAGATTCTGTCTCCCTCTCTCTCTGCCCCTCCCCTGCTCATGCTCTGTCTCAAATAAATAAACTTAAAAAAAAAAATGAAATGAGATAAAAATAGGATAAAA